TTAAAAAACAAACAAACAAACAAAAAATTACAACTAGAGAACAACCATCATTGAGAATCGCCTGAAGTCTAGCTGAACAGAAGTCCTACAACGAAGGACATACAGAAGATGCCATGTCGAGACTGATAGAAGAGTGGAGACACAGAAAGGGCTGGTCCCACAACCACATGTGGTGTTTAAAAATAGGGAGGAATATCTTGTCTTTGGAGGAGTGAGGGGTCTCAGCCCAGAGTCCCAATGCCTGGAAGAGAAGTCCCCACAAATTCTGGCTGTGAAAATCAGTGGAGATTGTGGCTGAGTGAGGCAGTGGGCTGCTGGAGTCTCAGGCATTGCTCTTAGAAGGCCTGCGCATGGACTTACTCACTGACAGACTGCCTTGCTCTGAGCTCCAAGCACTGGGACAGCTTTCTCCCAAACAGAAGTGCTGGCAGAATCCACTGTTTCTTTGTTGAGCCCTCCCCACTCCCAGTGAGCAGACACAGGCAGCTGCCATACGTGGGTCTCCATCAAAGTGGCTAACACTGCTCTCCCTGCCCTGGTGATTCCCTGAGACCCCACCCTGCTCGACTTATGGACACACCTAAGCCGCTTCTAGTGGCTTTTCCATACAAACAGTCTGTCTTGGCTTATGCTTCGGACTTTCCTAAAATCTCTCAAAGGTTCACAAACCCCAAACAAGCTCTATCTGGCCTTGGCATGCCCTGTACCTCTTACTAAGCAGCCTCAAGCCCAGCACTAGAGGTAACTGGCCTCAGTTCACGGCTTAGCCTCTCCCAGGCACCTCCAAGCCCAGCACAGGTGGCAACCATCTGCATATCCCTTTGTAGCTCATACCAAGTGGCTTTGGGCAGAGCACAGACAGCAGCTGGCCATGGCCTGCAACAGAGCCTGTCCCAAGAGGCCCCAGAACCAACACACCCGGTGGTCAGCTTCAGACCACACCAAAGCATGACCCAACCACCTCCACAAATGATACACCCAAGGGCAGACTCAGCAGGTGCCAGAGTCTCACTAAAGTGAGCCCTGCTCTCTAAGGTCAGCCACTGTACCACAGCTCCTTCACTGTAGTCACGGCCTGACAACCAATCAGCCTGAGGGTCAATCCCTCTCACTCATGTGCCATCAACAACCAAGGCTTAACTACAACAGGGGGACATATACAACTCACACAAGGGACACACCTGGAACACCTAGCTCAGGTGACCAGGGNGGGTGGTATTATTGTCACTGGGGATCTCTCCATCAATTATCATTAAATAGCTAACACGGACTTAAGAGAAATATGTAGAAAGAAAAAAGCTCTTACAGAGATTGCTAATTTCTGTCCACTGAGGCTTACCTCTCTACGCCTGGAGGCCCAGCAACTTTGTTTGATCTTCCAAACCACAGCAGCCACCAGGAGCAAAGAGAGGAAACAACTGTGAGAAAGGAAAGTACCAAGTTATTATCCCAGCCCCCAGAATCAGCACCACTGTCATCCACATCTCAGGCCAAACAGGGAAAACCCCCCCCCAGATACCACCGCCAAGCTCCTCTCTGATGAGTCACCAAAAACCGGAAGCAAAGTGGGGGAAGACTTTGATAAGCTGAGCTTCCAGACCCAACCTTTAGACTGTATTGTCCCCACAAGGTACTCAAGGTCCTCGGAGAGAGCTCTGACCTCCCACGGGACCTTTATCGGAATGGCCCATCATGGCTTATCCCAAATAAGAAAAATAATTCTAAGATAATTATGACAAATAACAAGCATGCTATTTAATCAAAATTAGCAAACATTCATTGGTAAAGTCTAATAAAATGAGAGACATTAGTTATTAAAGTAACAATTGACTTTTTATAAGGAAGAGGTAAATGTAGAATAAATTTATGTGTAATAATATATATTCAATTATATTTTTACCAAGTAAATCCATACATGTTTTATTAATAAAGTAAAACTGCCAAACTCAAGCCAACAATTTTCTTAAAAGTATTAGAAGAGAATAACTCCCAGTGGTCATGTAACTGCAAATGATTTCAACTTCCTCTCAGTTATAAACCAGGCACTGAATAGTTTGTAAAGCTACTATGACAGCAGAGAATAACCGACTTCTGGTTAAAAGGATTAATGAGCCTAACAAAATATGCCTCTTAGATAACTGCTTATTTTAAAACTGGCCTTTTCACTTGTTCACTTTTAACAGGGGCTTGCTACAGAGTTATTATTCCAGAGTGTTGCACAGACATGAGGCTGTTGGCTCCTAGAGTCAGGTACCCTCTTGCCAAGCTCTGCATTTG